CATGGAACGTTCCACTTCCCCGGGAAGGCGGTGTGACGTGGCGCCGACGTACGTTCGGGACAGAACGGGGCTTCTAGGAAAAGACCGTTCAAAGGCATCGACGCTCCGAAGCGCGTGAAGGATTTAGCCCAAACCGCGACCCGTAAGAGAGTCTTCGGGCGGCACGCAGAGCCGATAAAGTATAGAGTGACATGTAGGTAGAGATCTCCCGGGTTTATTTATATATTCATTTATTTAAACTCTTTTTATCTCGCCTTTCTCCTTTAAAAGGACCCAATTGGAAGCTGGGGCGGGGAGGTCTCTGTGGGTCGGAAGTGAGAAGGGCGGGAAATGCTAGTCTTCGTGGAGATCCAAACCACCAATGTGGCAGCAAAAGTCACCCGTTGATGCTCCTTTGATTGCAGGCTCGATTCCATGATTAAAGAACGCCCTCGGCTTGGGTCACGAGGGTCTCCGCGCCTTCGCTCATGTTTTCAGACGAACGGGCGGTGGCGGGACGGCTGCGAGCGGTGCTTTCCCCAGAGGGGGCGGGCGAGGGGAGGGCTGCACGGCTTCGCCCTGCCCTCGAGGAGGGCCCCGCGGGGTTTAAAACTCCACCCTCCACTTTTAAAAAACTTTTCTTCGAAGAAACATTAAACGCCTTTTCTAAATGTCCGTAATCATGGCTAGACGGGGAGGGGGAGAGGGCTTAAGACCACCATCCCCACCCCCATTTCATACAGTCAATTCCCGCCTTTCCTTTTGACATCTTTGTGTACTCGGGAAGGAAGACGGTCTGACAGGCTGCCGCCTCACCAGCAAAATGTTTCCAAGTTGTGAATTTCGACCCTTTATTTTTTGTTGTCGTTGTTGTTCAAATGAAGCAGGGCCACTACGGATTCTTTTGTTACCATGTTTCCAAGTTACTCCTTGTGAATTTCGACCCTTTATTTTTGTTGTTGTTGTTCAAATGGTGTTATCTCCCTCGGTACTAGCTCCGCATCAAATCCAGCCCACTGGGAGGCTACTGTACAGTATTTATTCAAATCCAGCCCACTGGGAGGCTACTACTACTGTATACCTATGCTGTGTTTCATCGCACAGCACAACCGACATTCCATGGAGTGTGTACTAGATGAAAGCCCATTTATTTCCTTTACATCTGGCGTGTGGTCCCACCTGCTGACCTTGGACTCCCTTCATTTTTAAAAAAATTAATTTTCAAACTGTGGATGCGTTGGTATGCTTCTATCAATAGGGCTGGTGGAGCATCAGTCCCCCTGCTGTCTTTTGACCGCCGCTGCAGTGCAGGCGCTCCTCCATAGAGGGTAATGAAGTATGGAAATTGGAAGAAATGGCCCAGATCAGCACATGGCTTAGCAAGGGCATTTTGCAGACCCAGCAATTTGCCCACAAAAAAAAGGGGGGGAGACGGCAGAGAAAGGCACAAAGATATGTCCCCCTTGAGGGGTGTAGACAAACATACCACATTGAATTCACAGAAAAAAGCGGAAAGGTTAAATTAAAAAAGTATGAACTACTATCACAGGATGTGTGCCATGTGACCACAACATGCACAACTATACAGGGAGCAGAAGAGATGAGCAAAAGGGGTGGTATTTCTGTAGTGTGACCACAGCCTGAGTCTACTCAGGAAGTGTCTCCAAAACCAACTTCAAGTCCTGGTTAGGTTGTGGGAGGGGGTAAAGTTGCAGGTAAATTTGGAACTGGAACTAAGGGACCAATTTCAGATCAGATGCCAGAAGGAATGGCAGCCTGCCAATTAAGACACATTTGTGTGAATGGATTAAATCTCCTTCCACTAGGTAGCTCCAGCCATGCAGCATTCAAAGCAAAGCAAAAGCAAAGCGTGCTGCTTATATACCGCCCCATAGCACTTCAAGCACTCTCTGGGCGGTTTACAAGTTAATTATGCAGGCTACACATTGCCCCCCCCCAGCGAGCTGGGTACTCATTTTACCGACCTCGGAAGGATAGAAGGCTGAGTCAACCTTGAGCCGGCTACCCAGGATTGAGCCCCAGGTCGTGAGCAGTTTTGGCTGCAGTACAGTGGTTTGACCACTGCGCCACGAGGCTCTTAGTTCTGTTTTCTAGCATGGCTTTATTCATTTTTACTGAGGGTGTGCCCACAATGGCAAAAAATAAAAAATAAAAAAAAAATCAGAAAGTGCCTCAAAATTGGGACAGGCTGATTTGTATTTTATTTTATTTGCATTGACCATATGACATAAATGGAAATGCTGATCAACTCAGAGTCCCCTTGCCATCTGCAGGTTTTCCCTCTGCTACTGCTACTTTTTTTTTTACATCAGATCCATTTGCAACCGTTCATGAACTGATTGCTTGAGCTGATGCAGAAAATGATCCCTCCCTTGTCATCATTCTCCTCTGGTCATAATATACTATCTCCCCCTTTTTGTAAAACAGCTATATGCCAATGCTGTTGCACTAGGGCACTTAGACAGAAAAAAAGACATAGATACTGTAATGAGAAAAGGAAATGCGAGGAGGAAATCAGCATTTTATGCTTGTTTATTAGTACCTCTTGTGTAGCAACAACTGCTGAGCTACAAGAGAGCTACATTAACAAGCGTCAAACAAGGCAATTTAGTCAATGTCCTCTTCTCCATATGTAGCCAGTTAATTCAAATAGACCCAGGGAAACTCAAACTCCCATAAGTTTGTTGTGTAGTCACATTCTTCCTTACATTTGTATTCAGCTGTTCTGGGATGGAACTCAAGACAGCCTCTACTGTCTGTCACCCAGAGGAAGAAATTGTGTTTCCTAGCTGCCTTGTGTCCTCTTTTTGTTTAATTTTTATAAATTTTTATTTTAATAAAAAGAATACAAAATACACCTACTACTACAAAAAAAGAAAAACTATAAAATGCAAAACAAAACAGTGCACCCATCACCCTCAGGACTAGCATTACACTTCATTCCATCCATTTTCCTTCCAAAATTTCATTGTTTCTTCATTCGGTGTACACCCCCTCCCTCTCCGAAAGCCTTGTGTCCTCTTGAAGAGAAAGTGTGGTGTAATTGTTTTAAACAAATAATAAATTTCCATGTGTATGCTGCAAACTAGAAAGCATAAAAATTTTATAGCCTATGGAAGTTTCTGCCTCAAACATTTTGGTTGCCGTTTTCCAGTTATGACAGATGAGCAGGACAGACTGTTTATAAAGTACATCCTTCAGGTCAAAATGCCTCATTGGCAGTAGAAATCCATAAGTAACAGGATTTTTCTCTATGATGTGCGTAAGTACACCAAAAATGGTCTGACTTTTCAGGATCTACTTCTCATTTTGTTACTAGAATCTCAAGTTCTATTAATGGGGTCCTGATGCAAAAAGGTATATACTGTACTTTAAAATCAAAACAAAGTGAATGGCTGCCAAGTGGGTTTTTTAGAATGGATTATTGTATCTTACAACAATGAACTTTTTTTGGCGTTGCTTACGTTTTTTAAGTATTGTATTCATTGATCCTTTTAGTATTGTATACTTATTGTTACTAACTTAAATACTGTATTTTAATTGTTGTAAGCTACCTTGGGTCCTTTTAAAGGAGAAAGGCAGGTGAAATAAATAGTTTAAATAAATACATAAAAATAATTCTCAGCTCAGGAATTTGTCTCAAGGACCAGAAATTGAACAAAACTCACAATCCTTCCAGAAAATAATCCGTTATTAATGATTCCCAATAGCCCTGGATTCTTGATATAGCAAGAAATGCCCTCTTGAAACCTGAGACCTCTTCCCCTAACCTTTCAAATTCCAAATCTTATTTACTTGCCTGTTTGTTGCCTTCAACAGTCTCTAGGTTTTGGCTTTGTTTTATATTTCCTTCGCTTCTTTCTTCATATGTCTGTCTTTCACCAACTTCTCCCTGAAAAGACAGCCAGCTTTTCAGTCCCATTTCAACTTCTCTCCCACCTCTTTCCTTACTACTGTAGTAGCGTTCCACCCTTCCTGAAACTCTGTGAAGTTTCTTCAAAGTCCCCACCATCTTTTCTTCAGCTCTTTCCTTCTTGCCTGAGTGCCTGTCTCCTGCCTTTCTGCTCCCAGAATTCTCCTTCATGTTCACCCTTCTTACACGACTACCCACTCAGCACCGTCTTTCCAGTCCCCTTACCTGCAGGCTTGCTGCACCGCAGATGCTAGCATATGTGATGTCCCAGTTCTTAGACTGCTCCAAGTTGTGAAGGCTGTTTCACCAGACAGTGTAAATATTTTAATCCCGTGCTGACTGATAACCTCCCTCCACCACAGGGTCAAGTAAAGGCTTGTAAACTGTCTTGAGACCTTTGTTCCCTAAGCAGTTGGAATGTCTTATGACACGGCTATTATACCCCTTCAGCCAACCAGAATCTTTTCCACCACAGCTGGCTCATTTGGAAGTAGAGCTGCCTCCCATGCAGGAGTAGATCATTACATGGACTGGTGAAAGATAAAAGTTCTTTCTCCGTTCTCTTGAGATGCATTCACCAAGCCAACAATGCACATTATATGCCATCAAGTCAGAACCAACTTGTAGCAACTCAAATAGGGCTTTCAAGAGAAGTGAGATATTTAAGGAGTGATTTTACCATTGTCTCTCATACAGTGAATTTCCATGGTGGAGCCACGTCCCTTGAGTCCTAGTCTGTCATTCTGTCCATCACACTGGGTACTTAAGGCAACAACAGAAAAAATTAAAAGCCCTACTATGTCCACTAAACAGGATCATTAATTAATTAATTTGATGTACTTGAGAAGGCTTTCACGGCCGGGATCTAATGGTTGTTGTGGGTTTTTCGGGCTCTTTGGCCGTGTTCTGAAGGTTGTTCTTCCTAACGTTTCGCCAGTCTCTGTGGCCGGCATCTTCAGAGGACAGAGGACAGCCAGAGCACAGGGAGCCAAAGAGCCCGAAAAACCCACAACAACCAATTAATTAACACACACACGCATATTTAACTGAAAGAGTTTTGGTCCAAAAAGACTTTTGATTTAACAGTGTCATGATTTTTTTTATTCAAAGCATTTATAGGTTACTTTTCTACCCAACAGGGTTCCCAAAAATGTACAATAAAATCATGATATAAAAAAAAATAAAAGAAGAAAATAATAATTAAGAAAACATAGTAGAAACACTTTAAAAAGTCAAGCACTTGACAAAATAATGCAGGCCTGAACTAAGCCCACCGGGGGGATTATAATGACTGATTGGTTGATGAGCAAACCAACAGATGTCGTTAAGCTGTGGCTCCAGCAGCCTGGGTCAGCATAGTCCGTGATCAGGAATTCTCAGAGTTGCAGTCCTACAGAATCTGGAGCACCAGATTTTGCCCCAACCCTTCCTGTAATGGAATAAAACAACCTCCCTACAGTCTTCTCTTCCCAGCTCCATGCCTGTCTGGTTTAGCTTCTGAATCAGGCCTCTCTTTATCTGAACAACAGTCAGGTCCTACTGTGCTCAGGTACCTGCACTGTTCAGGTTTTCTTGTCTATCCCACAGATCCTCTGCTTGCCTTCCTCCCAGCCTGGGACTCCTTCAAATGCTGCCACAGCATTGCTCACAGGGCTTCAGTCCCAGTTCCGGCAAGACATGTACTTCCAGCCCCTGCTCTTCTGCCTGCCTATGCTCCAATGCTGATGCCCCCCCCCCTCTCAATAGGGTACACCAAGGACGTCAGAAAGTGGCTTTTAGAACCAGTGCCTTGATGGCTGCAGGGGTGCCGTTCCCAACGGACATGCTATTATTCGGCTCCTCCTGCTGGTGCGACGAGCGCTCCGACTTGCTGGTGCTGCCCTCCAAGATGGGGAAACCAAAGCGCTTGGCTTGCCTGTCCTCCGCCCCGGGCGCGATCACCAGGAGGCAGCAGAGCAACTTGAAAATGGCCCGCCGCATGTCCTTACTGGTGAGGGTATAGATGATGGGATTCAGGAGAGAGTTGATCATTGCCAAGCCCAAGAAATAGTCCGCCTTGTACAGCACGCTGCAAGCCTGGATCTGGCAGGCGACATCCAACAGCAAGAGGAGGAAGAGGGGTAGCCAGCAGGCAATGAAGGTGCCCACCACAATGGTCACGGTCTTCAGCAGGGCCATGTACTTCTGGGACTTCTTGAGCATGCCCTTGCGGAGGGTGCCCAGGCGCTGCCCATTGAACTTGACCATGCGGTAGATGCGGGCGTAGAGCACCACAATGGAAATCAAGATGGCTAAGAAAATGGTGATGCAGAAGAGGATGTAATGTTTCGAATAGAGGGGCAATACTGTCGAACATTCCGGGAGGCTGTCTATGCAGTTCCAGCCCAGGATCGGGAGCACCCCGAGCAAGACGGAGGCCAGCCAGCTGGCACCCACCAGCAGGAACATCCGCCCTTTCTTGTCGCCGTGGTAGAGTCTCATGCGGACCATAGTGATGTGCCGCTCGATGGCGATGGCGAGGAGGCTGAGGACGGACGCAGCAAGGGTGACAAAGACCCCACCTTCTCGCAGAAACCACTGGACAGGGGTCAGCTTGAGGGTCATGGGCCCAGACATGATGATGTTGGCCGTGTAAGCCACTCCAGCCAGCAAGTCTGACAGGGTCAGATTCCCAATCAGATAATACATGGGCGAGTGGAACTTCTTGTTCCTCCAGATGGCTAGCAGGACCACTAGATTTTCCACCACAATGAAGGCACACACAACCAAGAAGACGACGGCATCAGCTTTGAGGCTCCCTTTGTATTTGCTGGCACTGAGCTTCCCTGTGTAGTTGTAGTGCAGAGAAATTACGTTGCTATTGTGATATTCCCGGTAGAAGGGGGCTGAGTAATGTGGAGACTCCATCCTGATAGGCCGCATCGCATCAGTGCCTGGATCTCGTCCCTGAGTCACGTGGGTTTAAGTAGCACCCCGGAGTCCTCTAAGAGTGGCGTATGTTCCATACTCTGCTCAAGGAAGACAACAGAGTTTCACAAACGAGACTGCTTTGTCAGCAGCTGTTCGGCCCCCAACGTCAAACCTGGAAAAGACATCTTGGCACCAGCAGGCTTTCCAATCTGCTGGTTGGAATGTCCAGATGGAACCTAAAAGTGCCAGAAAAAGAAAATCTATGTGAGTTGATTGCTTACAGACCCCAAAGGCAACCCCATTTCCCAAGTGATGGTCAATGTTTTAAAAGGATATAACCCAGACAGAACTGGGGCAGCAGGATGTTGGGTTTTTAACGTCTCAATCAGTCAGTCGACTGTTCTAGCTGTCTTCTATTGACAGCGGCCCCCACAGTATGGATGAACCCTGTGCGTTCATATATATAGACAGTCTGAGCTACATCACTCTCTTGAGGTCTTTCAGTGGAAGACGGAAAAGGAAGGACAAGTACCATGTGAAGTATATGGAAGTGGTGGTTTCCCTTTGCTATAGGGTTTCTGCTCAGAGCTGAATAAAGCAGCTTTCTCCCAAAACATTTCCCCCTCTGAAATTTATCAAAGGAGAACATATTTCACACCCCACAGACATGGTGCTGCACAATGTCCCGGGCAAGCCCTCTGCTTCCGTTTTCAATAGGACTTAAGGCTGGCATATGGAGGCAGAGGATATCTCCCAGTACAAGCTCCAGAAAAACAATGGTGCCGTATTGGGGATGCTGAAAAGGGGTAACAGGATACTGGCCATGATTTGGGTACCCCCCCTTTTTTTTCTTCTAGCAAAGAAATAACAGAACAACTAACTCACAGGGCATAACAACTGCCTCGTTACTTCTCCAGTAATGGAAAAGTAATGTTGGTTCCTTCTTCAAAATATTTCACCATTTTAAATCATGCACTGGCCCTAATTAGCTACAGCAAATGGCAAGTTTCCATGTTGTCTCCCCAACTAAAACAAACAGTATTTTTTTTTTGTTCTTGTGGGTTGTTTAGGCTCTTTGGCCATGTTCTGAAGGTTGTTCTTCCTAACGTTTTGCCAGTCTCTGTGGCCGGCATCTTCAGAGGACAGCACTCTGAAGTACACAAAGTGCTGTCCTCTGAAGATGCCGGCTACAGAGACTGGCGAAACGTCAGGAAGAACAACCTTCAGAACACGGCCAAAGAGCCCGAAAAACCCACAACAACCATTAGATCCCAGTCGTGAAAACCTTTGTGAATACAGTATTTTTTTCTTTTTAGCAGACTTTTTGTTATGCACTGATGTTGCAGTTTGACCCCTCAGTCCTATCGCCTTTCGAAAACTTTATCTGTACTTTCAAGCAAGTTGTAAACTTTTAGAAGTGGACCATATAATGTGGCAATTATCAGGTGAAATCTATGTTTTCTAAACCTCTCCCCTTGGATAAGGCTAGCATATTTTTGTTCACCTGATTTTGTTCAAGGCTGAGCAAATATTTAGGCATTTTCATGGTGGTGGTGAATTTGCTTTATTCATGGTAGCGGCTTGTACTATTTACTGAACTTATAGCAAAAATGGCTTTGTACAGTACATCTGTTTGTGCTTATATATTTTTTCAGTGTGCATACACTCAGACTTGTAATGAATCTCTCTAGCTATTTTATTGTCCAGTCATGCAAAATTAACAAATCATGGGCACTGGACAATCCTCAACACCATGATGTCATTTGCAAAGATCAAATTTGCTTATTAGGATTTTTTCCAGGCTATTTTCCATTCACTTCATTACTTAGGATTGAACTGAATCACTTCTCCTCTTATTATTCTCCCACTTCTAAAAGTTCAGGAAAATTTAGGGAGCAAAATGCATCAAAATATAAATTCAGATCTATAAGAATCACAGTCTTTGCACGTACATTAGCTGTCTGTAGATCTTTTAAATGTAGTGTGATGGTAATAGGAACACACAATCCTGGTCATACCATTACGGCAAAGAAAATGTACACTTGGTACATACTTCAGCATCCCATTGCACAGCTCTCTGCTCAAGCAGCATACAAAGAGCCCAAGGGGTCAAAACAACAGCAACTTACAATAGGATGCTGAGAGAACTGAGTATTGCTGTGCAATTCACCAGCCAGACAAGAGACCAGGAGTGAAAAGGACTGAGAAAGCATTCTGAGCAAATCTGCAACACAAAAGAAGCTTGCTGTCTGCGTGGCCCCACAGGCAGCAATGAAGGCTGCCTGGTTTGCACCAATCCTGTGTGGGTCCTGGGGGTCTGGGCTGCAGCACTATGCATAGGAATCAGCTTCTACCTTTCTGAAAGGAGGAGGTTGCTTCACTGTGTGGTTCAAGGATTACATCTTTCATGTGTCCTTTGACTCCCATCTCTGGAATCTCATTTGCACAGCACCCATTTAATTTTGAAATCCTGTCCTTCCCATTTTATTTCCACTCCATGTTGGATCCTTGTGCTTGTCTCAAAACTCTGTTCTACACATACACACATGTAGGAACATTCCACTTCTCTTCAGGTAGCTGCGCCCACCCTGCCATAAATGTATGTATCTATGGATTCCAGACAAGCCCCAAATGACCCCCTCATAATACAGAGTGGCATGCATGAGTGGGCAGGCACATACAGCCTGCCCAAATACCTCATCTTTCATTGTTGACATGAATGGTCTACTGACCTTGAATCTATTCTTTTTCGTTAAGCTTGACAGCCTGCCAGCCAGTCTCTGAAGAAGCCAGGCCCAAAAGCAAAGTTTTGCATGGAGAGGCAGGGGAGGGGGATGCCTGGAAAGAGCCAGGAAAAGTAGCTAAGGAAATATCTCTGTCTTGTCTTTTTGAGCAGAAGGCTCCTTGGAGGGGAAAAAAAGTCATGTGAAATAAGATCCAAACACCACAGAAGTAGAGAATACCATTATTCCAACCCACTCTGATTCCACATTGGTGTGCCAGTTTTGGAATACTCCAAAAATCCTCATCAGGCTAGATGGGGAAAAAGAGAATGGCAGGGGATGGGGAAACAAGTAGGGAAGCCCCCCAAATTAAGTGACCTGAATTAACCCATGAGGTCTGTGATCAAATGGAGACTCACTGGTAGGTAATAGGTATGCATATGTTCTGAAGAATTAGAACACATGCACAATCTTGCAGAATTGTACTTCGTTTGAATATAAGATTAAGTCTTATGGACCAACACAACTATCTTTCTTTTTTAAAGTGAGATACATTGCCAAGAAATAGTCTCTGAAGTATTCTCTCTCTGTGCTGCTCCTGTCCTCTGAAGATGCCGGCCACAGAGACTGGTGAAACGTAAGTTAGAACAACC